CTAGGGAACCTTGACTAATACAATGTTATAACACAAGCTGTTTAAACAACTGTAATCACCAATGTCTGTGTTTAGCAACTCACTCTGGCTCCTTATTTTCTGCCATCAAGTTTTAAGTAATTTTAAGTCCTGTTTCTGAGTACTTATCTCCTGTGCCAGGAGATTACAAAGAAATGAGGCATGTCCCTACCCAAAGATCACAGTCCAGTATCACCAGTACACAAATTTCTAGAAACACCATCTACATGGAGCCACACAAACACTGCCATCAGCCAGAAAAAGATGTTTTCAGTAGTAAACTGAACCATGTCCTGTGACTCACTGAGATGGAGGTGCCGTTTTGGCTCTACTTGGTCAAACATGAGCTACTGAAGCAAGAGGGGAAGTTTTCCCCCCATCCTGTGAGAGCATATATACTCTTGGGTTTGAATCTCACCTCTTTCCAATGTCTAGTTATGTGGCCTTGGACAAATTAGTTAATTTTGGTATATAATGTTAAATGTAAAATAGTAGTTAAAATAGTACATTGCTCATAGCATATGTATAAGATTGCACAGGATATTTGTAAAAAAAATTTAGAGCAGTGCCTACAACTTGCTATATTTCATCAAATACACAATGCCATCAATTGTGGGATACTATTATGTGTACTCCCAAGAAGGAAAAACAATGTCAATTGTAATTGTAAAGTGCTATTAGTTGTGTCACTTCGTGATGTGTTAAAAGATGAAAAAAAATATGTATCTTAAAATCAGTGAAGTACAATAGTTGGTGCTGTATAAATAAATAAAATTCTGGATCAGACAAGCTGATTATTTAGGGCAGTGTCGACCAGTCCTAAGTTTGAAGAAAAAATCTATTTGCATTTGTGAATGGTTATCTAAATAGAAACAAAGTTATAAGCAAACCATAATATTACTGAATGTCCAAATCACTGTTTGACTATTCCACAAAATTACGAAAGCATATTTGTCTCATTTTTTAAATGAGGTTTAGAACTTCCTTCATTATGGACTCCCTAGGGTCATTTAATGATCTAATTAAGGCATTATGGTTGTTTTGGATGGATATTTGCATCCTTTCCAGATTCAAATGTTGAAGTCCTAATCCCCAGTGTGTTTATATTTTGATATAGGGTCTGTGAGGAGGTGATAAAAGTTAAATGAGTTCACAAGGGTGGGGCCCTAATCTGACAGGGCTGGTACCCTTATAAAAGGAGGAAGAGACACCAGAGCTCTCTCTCTCCTTTATGTGAGGATGCAACAAGAAGGTGGCTGTCTGCAAGCCAGGAAGAGAGCCCTCACCAACAATTGAATCAGCTGACACCTTGATTTTGGACTTCCAGCCTCCAGAACTATGAGAAATAAATATCTGTTGTGTAAGCCACTCAGTCTATGGTATTTTGTTATGGCAGCCCAACCATACTGAGGCAGTGGCCAATGGGGAGGTCTGTCACTGAGAGATAACTGTGGATGAATTCATCCTTCCACCTCTCCCCTGCCCCCGGCCACATAGGACTAGTCAGTAGCCATCAGAGAATGTTTGACCTGAAGGTGCTTACTTGCAGTTGGAAATCAAAGACAGGATCTCCCCATCAACCCTTCCTAGTCCTCATTTTTGTGCCTACTTGGTGCACATGCTACTATATTAATGTGCTACTCTACTGACATTATAATTACTATTTATTTATTTCTACAATTGTATGTGTGGGAAATAACATTCTCATTATGAACATTTAATTAGGTTTACAGTTTTAGTCACTTCTCCATATTTATGCTTTCTTCAGTTAGCTCATTGACAACTTTCTCATTGGTAGTTTGATTCTCTGGGTGCTGATTCTGCCTCTATGTATTTGACAAGTGAAACTTTGCCTTTGTTTTTGTTCTCACCGGTAATTGAATTTCAGTTCTAGCAATGTTTAAGACAGTATGACAGGGAAGGTCCAGAAAAAAATTCAGAATAATATAAAGGTTACTTTTTTAAAAAGCATGTCTTTATGGAGAAAAAATCTGAATCAAGGAATACTCTTTAATTTTATTTTGAAGCACATGCTTCAACAGAAGCCAAGCAAAGCATTAACCAGTGGGAATCCTTGGGGAAACCTGTTTTAATGAGTACATGAAATTGCTTAGAGTTTACGTAACAATTTGTATGTTAATGGATGTATCTGAAAATCATGAGCATGTTCAAAGGTACTTGAAAAGGTTGTCTTTCATTAATAATTTCTAAACATTACTCTACAATCTTGTTTATATTATTTTTATCAGAGCAAAGTTAAGTCTCTCCAGCCCGGAATAGCCACAGTTGGTTTATTAGTTATCTATTGCTGTGTAACAAATTATCCCAAATCATAGAAGCTTAAAACTATCAACATATATTATCTCACACAGTTTCTGGGTGTCAGGAATCTGGGAGTGGCTTAGCTGGGTGGTTCTGGCTCAGGGTCTGTCATGAGAATGCAATTAGTAAGCTGTTGGCTGGGACTAAAGATCCATTTATAAACTTACTCACATGACTGATGGCAGTCGACTTCAGTTCCTTGCTATGTGGGTCCTTCCATAGGCTGACTGCTCACAACAGGGTTTCCCCCAGAACAGATGATGAGAGAGCAAGTCAGCATGCCACCGTCTTTTATGCCTAATTGCATAAGTGAAAAACCATCCCTTCCACTGTGGAGTGCTATTGTCACACAGACCAACTCTGGCCATGAGAGGGGCCTGTGTAAGGAGTCTGCTTGCAAATTCACTTAAATGGCTCTTGGCAGGAGACTTCAGTTTCTTGCCCTTTGGGCTTGTGTATAGGGCTACTTGCTCATACCGTGGTTTCCCCAGAGTGGGTGATCTGTGGGGCAGGAGATGAAAGCCACCTAACCTTGGTTGTGACCTATCATCACTTCTGCTGCATGCTGTTGGTCATAAAGACCAACCCTGATACCATGTGGGAAGAGGCTACACAAAGGTGTGGCCATTAGGAAGCAGGGATGATTGGGGAGTATCTGAGAGGGGGGCTGCCACAGTTGACAAGTGGCCTGTGCCAGGCCAGATGCCCTTCCTAGAACTGACATTGTGAGCAGAATGACAGACTCAGAGGGTAGAATTATTCATTTAAGCAGAGCTAAGTTCTCTCTTGTTCTGCAAAATTCTGATAATCATCCAATACATTCTTTTTGGATTGTTAGCTCAGATTAGTTTCTGTTATTGTGACTCCTAACTGATCAAATGTATTCCAATGTAAATTATACTTAAGTGCATGTGCAATATTGAAACTACTTTCTGTTTATTATAAGACTATGAAAGTCAGGCTTCTCATTGTTGGTGATGGGAGATACAAAATAGAATTGTGGAGTGCACAGATTGCATTCCAATCTGTGGTGCTAGATTGGAGATGGAGTTATCAGTGCGAACTCATGCTGTACACACACATACTTCCTTGATCTATTTATTTAAGTGGCTTCAAATCACTCCCTAGTAGCAATGAGTAAATGTATGCATTGAAATCTTAGTTTCTAAGTCCAGTGTGCAGAATTTAGTTCCTTGTGGTTGGAGGACTGAGGTCTCCATTTCCTTGACATGTGGCACCCCCCAATTTTAAGCCAGCAATGGTGCCTGGAGAACCCCCTCCTGCTTTGAATCTCTCTGCTTTTAATGGCTTATGTTATCTCGCTGGCACCACCTGGATAATCTAGGGAATGTTTTCTCTCTTAAAATCAACCAATCAATAATTTAATCACATCTGCAAAATCTCTTTTGCTATATAATTAACATAACATAACCATGGGTGTGACACCCCCCCAGGTAAAAGTCCTGGAGGCCAAATTTCTGCCTACCACGGGTTCACAGGAATTTTTTGGACTATTCTCACCACTTTCATATAAATTTGAAATTACATCAAAATAAAATGTTACAAAGATTTATAAGTACAGCACAAGAAGTTGAAAAATGTAGTCACAGCATCGTTCATGTTTTGGATGGTTTCATTTCCTCCTAACAGCACTGGGTCTGTTTTCCTTCCTCATTACCTTCCAGGCCACCACCAGATCAAGCAAGGAACGTGTGAGGTGGTCGCTGTGCACAGATGCTGCAATAAGAACCGCATAGAAGAGCGCTCACAAACGGTCAAGTGTTCCTGCTTCCCGGGACAGGTTGCTGGCACAACGCGGGCTCAGCCTTCTTGTGTTGAAGGTAAGACCTTTCTGGTCAGTTTCTCCAGCATTTCAAAAGAGCTGAAAACTACCAGCAACCTCCCTACTTTACTATGTTTGCAACCCAAAGAAACCTAGGTTGCTTCAAGGTCACTGTCAGTCCAAAAGTGAACATAAACACAACTCCAAAAATTTCTTAACGAATAAAGTAAATCTTCAGTGTCTCTAAAGTGGTACCAATTGGGAGTTATACTACAGGACAGTTGGGAAGATGTACTTCAAATTTTTTGTTTTGTCCACCTGTCTCCAAATCTTGCCCATTGAGGCACTTGTTCACCCCTGTCTATACTCTGTACTCAAAATTAGCAGCGTGGCTTTCTCATCTTATGCATAGTGTTATAGGCTAATATCCTCTTTATTGTATTGCATTTTATCATTTTAACAAACATTTATAAAGCATCTTCTCTGGAGCAACTTCCCTGAGAAGAGTTTGGGATCATGGATCATTCATTTGCAATGTTGAACCCCCCCCCCCCCCCCCCCCCCC